TCCCCTAGAACAGGAATTCTATTTTGGTCTGTGCAAATGAATCGGAGAGTGAATCTAGATTGGTGCCATCTTTATCAGCAGGTACCTAATTCCTATGCTGCTATAATAGCCATCAGGGTGGACTTGGGCACTCAAGTGACTGTGAGGATGGTGCAGGACAAGGCAGTTTTTTGTTCTATTGTACATCAGGTCACCATGAGCTGGAGCTGATTCAACAGCCGTTGTCTGTCTGCTTCCTCCCCTTCCTTCCTTCCTTCCTTCCTTCCTTCCTTCCTTCCTTCCTTCCTTCCTTCCTCTGTCTCACCATCTCACCCTATGTAGAACAAAACTTTAAAGAGCAGTTTGAGGCAAAGCATCAGTCTGTCTAGGCACCAAGACATCTTGGTTTGGTCCTACGTGTCAAGAAGACAATGCCAATCTCTTACAATTCAGCCATCCAGCTGTAACTGCAGTCAAAGTCCTGGTTCGTCTTCTTCCCTTTTTTCCCAATGCAAAAATTAGTACTGTCATGAACTGAATTATCCCTTCCCAAATATGTGCCAACTTGGCCAGGGCTGTGATTCTCTGGCTTGGCAGTTATGTGCTAATGCACCATGGAAGCTATGTCTTGATTGCCCTGGATGTGATCTGATGTGATGAGCCTATCAGCTGTACAAGGGTTCAGGGTGGGACACATCACCCTTAATCCCATCATAGGCCTGGTCAGATGTATACAATGCATGGGAGATAAAAAATGATAGGTCAGCAGAAATAGGTCAGGAGATAAAAAGAGAAGGTCAGCAGAAAGAGAGAGACCTACTAACACAAGAAAGAAGAGCCAGGCGCAAGGCAGTTCCTTTGGACACGGGGTCCTGGTGCTGGGAACCTCCTAAACCTGGGAGACACCCAAGGAGTGAGTCCTCCCCTAGAGCTGTCATGCTGAGTTCAGTCTTCAACCCTCCTACACGGTAAGAGAGTATGTTTCTGTTCACTAAAGCCAACATCACCTTGTATATTTCTGCTATCGCAACATTAGGGAACCAGGATTGTTATCATATGTACATACATTACTGTACCTTTTTCCCCCTTCTACTGTATCATAGTAATCACCCAGGATTTCCAATGAAGCTGCATATTCTGAAGGCAACATTCAATTTGAAGGCAACTTCGAAGTCTTTTGACAAACACCTGTAAATGGTGCTACCTACATACTTAGGTAACACTGCCCAAACAGCCAACAGATATGCTAAGGCTAATATGAAAGGGGCAGGGTGGGGAATAGAGAAACCAGATGACTGGAAGCCAAGCTTACAGAAAGGGGATAACGAGCAAATGAGAAGCTGGTGAAAACGTAACTGCTGTGTCCACAACTTGCCGAGTCAATGTTAAATGGCTAATTTGCTATGTAAACTGCCACCAAAAAGACAGTAAAACATATTTTAAAGAATGTTATACTATTCCAAATAAAGCATTCACTGAGTTTATACTGTATTATGTACAACTGCATGTTAATGTTTAACCAAACCACTACCCACTAGTTTATTTACATATTGTCAGGCCATTCTAATAGTGCGCATTATTCTATAACTAGGCTATCAGTTTTACTCTGAGCCAATAGAGACTCTAGCTGAAAGTGTGATCTTTGAGGGAGTTACTTTACGTTTCTTACCTTCAGTTTCCCCATCTTGAAATTGGTAATATGTATACACTTAGGTCATTGGGGTAAAGTACTTCTAACAAAACTTTCCATTTTAGTCATCGAAATCTGTGTATCTGTGTGTGACTTGGGTGAAAATCTATTCAGCAGGTCATCACTTTTACATTCAACAACTCAGAACCATTTTGTTTCCTCTCATTCATGGTGGTTCCCGAAGTACTCTTACTTACCCCACTTCCTCCCTGTGCTTGCTGTTCCCATGCCTCCTTCCTTCCTAACCCATCTGAACTTTGCCCTTGGGGAAATGCTGCCCTTTTCATTTCAAATAGTTGATAATATTCAAAGGAGTGCATGCCTCCCTAGTATTGTATCATTCCCATTTTAGACCTGTGGGTTGTTTGACTGAAACTTGAGCCATGGGGGGCGAGTTCAATTCCAGGTCTGCAAGGTGACAAAAGGCCATAGCTTTAGGGGTTCCTCCGATCTCTAGCTGACCAGTAAGCCGGGTCTACTTTATGATCTTGAGTTTGTTTTTTTTTGTTT